TGGAGAGGATCTTCAGGTAATGTGAGGGACTGTAGGCCGAGGAGAGGCCCGAGGGTGGGCCTGGAGACTGTGATGGATGGACATGTGAGTTAAGGGCCGGCTAAGGCCAAAAGAGCAAACCCATGGCTAGTAGAGTAACATTGACAGATACAAACACAAGGGAAATAACAAGGTACAGAATACACACAACTTGGTACAGGAACATACACAAGATGCACATACATGTAGGGAAGACGACACACACACACACACACACACACCACACACACACACACACACACACACACACACACCACACACACACACACACACACACACACACACACACACACACACAACACACACACACACACACACACACACACACACACACACACACACACACACACACACACACACACACTAATCCAAAGATGTCCTGAAGCTGTGTCACATTATATGACTTTTTGTGATGATGTTAAAGAAGATTAAGAAGAGTCTACGAAGAAGACATGGCACACAGATTTGTCAAGAAAACAATCAAGCATTCACTTCAAAGCCTTGGATTTTTGCACCGAGTGACAGACTCACACGGCACATGGACAGATATATGTCCATGGCTGAGAGAATGTGATGTCATGATTGTGATTGGGCGTGACAGTGGCGCCAATCCAGCAACGGCCCAGTTGGATAAATAAAAACCCGCTGCATCTTTAATACGATTGTCTTATAACGAATGTCTCTGCTTTGTGAAATTTCGTACCTTTTTAATTCAAAAATGCGTCTGCAGAACATTTGATCGAGTTAGACCAAGTGATTTGTTTAAGCGTACAGAGCACTCACAGATGCAGGGGTGAGACGGGCAGACAGAGCTCTGGACGCACCATCCATCATAAACATAAACAAGACATTAATACAAGTCTCTGTATGTGTGTGTGTGTGTGAGACTGTGTATAATGATATTGGTTTGGGCGGATGATCCCCCCCCCCCCAAAAAAATGTTTTTAGACTAAAAACGGATCAGTCTAAAAACTTCAGATGACCAAGATGTGATTCAACAAGGCGTGCGTAAACATATCAAAAAGATAAAAAGCATACATGAATATTTAAATATTTTTATAAATAAAAAGGAAGCTTGAGTGCACAAACACAGAGATGCTCTCTCTCTCTCTCTCATACACACACACACAAAGGCACACACATCCTGTGATTATGGAGTTACCCCAAGGGCATGTTCTGTTCAGGGGTCACAGTTCAACTAGGCCTGGCCTGGTTAAGATCTGCTCGTCTGGAAACTGAGGGGGATATTCTGCCCCGAGGGTGTATGAGTGTGTGTGTGGAGCTAAGTCAACGACAGGTGCGAGCGTAATGGGGCTGAATGGGGGGGGGGGGGGGTATGAACGAGTGATCAATTTCAAATGAGCTTTGTAATACTGTTTATATTACTCGGGGTCGAAGCACTAAGATGATGATACATGGAGGCTTATTAAAGCTGATGGAGACGATTCTGCCTCCAGCTCTGATAGCACTATAAGAAACAGTTAGTTTAGAAAGCGAACATGAAAGCAAGGAGCCTGACATGTGCCTGGATAAAACTTGTGCTTATATTAGTCGCTTGTTTTCCTCAAATTCACTTTTTTTTTAAATCTTCATCCCCCTATGAAATACATATAACTATTTAACAGGTGGATGTAGCTCTGCGGTATAGTCAGTTATCACTCAACTGGAAGGTAAGGCCTCGTCGGGTCACATGTCCAAGTGTCCTTGGGCAAATCATTGAACCCCGAATTGTTCCCACTGCTACACTTGCAGCGTGTAAATGGAGCAGTACTGTAGGGCAGTTGGGCACTTTACGTAGTATACTCTGCCATCAGACTGTGAATGTGGTGTGAATGTGACTTGTAGTGTAAAAGCGCTTTGAGTAGTCAGAAGACCAGAAAAGCACTACACAAGTCCAAGTCCATTAACCATTTGTGCATGCCCAACAATGCAGAAACACTAGTATCCAATAACAGAGAGCAGTTCAAGAAAGCACAAGCAACTAAATTAAAACATGATGGATCACAGGGGACACATTTAGATGAAGATACATTGTCAGAGAAATACTAAAAACTAGTACTTTTGAAATGCCCAAAAATAAAACAATACAAAGAAAATCTGTCACACAATACATTCACCCCCTCTCCTCTGTACTCCCTCAAAAGCCACGGCCCTCACTTACATGCCCGAGCATCATAGCTCCAGAAATACACTGGACTATTTTACGAGTCAAAACAGCCAATAGCAAATTAACAGTATATTCTCCATCATCTGTGACCCGCTTTAAGTGTGGGTTAGTGCACCAAGGAGTAGAGAACGAGCAGGGAGACAGGGAGGCATGATTAGTTCATCAGATTGGTACCTCGTGGCAGACATTGGTCAAAGTTTTTACATGCTTACAACTGCTACAGATGATGGATTTTCAGAGCACATTAATTATTCAATTCTGTCAGGACCTCAAGACAATTTCAAACAAAATCTTAAAAAGTGTATCTGGAGGAAATTACCAACCCTGCCTTTCATTGTTTACATTTATGAGTGAAAAGTATTCTTCAGTCTTGGGCCGATCTCCACCAACTTAAAATTGTTTTCTGTAACAACCACATGAATGTACAGGATTGATAACAAACCCACTTCGCAGACAAAGTCAGTCAAATATCACAGATAGGATAAACACTGTTAAATCACTGGGACTTGAAAAATCTCCTTTACCTCTTCTCATTCTGTCAGGGGAGCCCATCAATGGGATAAAATCATGAACGTAATGTGCTGCACTTGTGTAGCGCTTTTGCAGTCTTCCAACCACTTAAATCAATTTACACTACACACACACACACACACACACACACACACACACACACACACACACACACCACACACACACACACACACACAAACACACGCACTCTGATGGCAGAGGCTGTTTTGCAAAGTGCCAGCCTGCTCATCAGAATCTAATCTAATCATAGGCATACCTCCATGTTTGTGCCTTCTAGAGCAATTTTGGGTTTCACAGTTTTGCCTAATGAAACTTTGGCAACCTTTGAGCTACCGCTGAATGTGATAAACTCATCATTTTTTCAATATTTGATGTATGTTTGAGAATTGGCTCATACCACAGCTGTAATAAAAAAATACAGAGTTTTTGTTATGTAAAATGTGCAAGGAACAACTCTATGTCTTTTATTGATATGCAGCCCCTCAGAGGTGGATTTTAAGGTGGGGTTAGGTTCAGTGTGTGTTGGGGTTCGACGTACCAGCCTCCAGCAGCATGCGGACAGCGAGTGTGTCATCAGCCAGCGTGGCGTAGTGAAGCGCTGTGCAACCACGGAAGCCAGCCCTGCTGCTGAGCCTGCTGCTGAATTCATCCTCTCTGGACACAAGGACTGTGAGACGTGAGAGAGTACAGTGAGTGAAGAGACGAGAAAAGATTCAAACAGAAGATGAATTTAAAAAAGAAAAACAAGACACACAAAAAGCCTGATGTAGACATAGTTGATTTATAGAATTTACAAAGATTTTGAGTGCTTCTGTTACAGTGTTGTGGCCCATTACCACATGTCATACTTGTATTAATATAATAGTTGTAATTGCTAATATTTAGCTGATCTCTCAATAAATGATATGTTGTTGTTATTACTGTGGCTACCAGCACTTACGTCTGATCCCCTCTCTATCTGACTCTCCTTTTCTGTATTTCAATCCAACCAAGGCTTTTGTGGCGTCTTGACTTTAATGTGGCGATGACAGTGGATGACCGAGTGGGGAATGACGTGAGGCAAAGTGCCGAGGGTTGAAGTTAAACCCCGGCTGCATGCTCGGAGGACCGTAGCCTCTGTACATGGAGCGCGCAATATAAATGCTATGTTATCAGCTGCCCAAGATTGATGTCTTTTTACTTAACTTAACATAGATTCGACAAAATCTTCCAAACTTTTTTTCCCCTTTACAGACGGAAAAGAACAAGAACACGTCCAAATCCGAACGAGAGATGAGAGATGAGTTACAAACTTTATGAATAATTGTTTGAGCTTTTATTTCTGGAAGCCTCTCTGTAATCGATTCACAACGAATGGTTAGGCTTCGTAGCATGTTGTAATAATAACACTGCAGACTACAAGATTGTTCCTGCTGTTTCCAGCTCCAGAGCAGTTGTTCATTTTCACATATTTAAGCTCAAACTGTCCAACATGATCTGAATAAAGTGCGTTTAGTTTTAGGGTCTGCTCTGCTTCGCTCCTTACAGATAATAGAGATAGTCTATCATTCTCTCCTTACTTATCTTTTTCATAAGCGCACTCATCTCGTGCCACTCCTCCATCATCCATTTCTATTTTTTTCCGCCACCTTCCTCTACTCCTCCCTACCCATCAGCTCCTATCATCACTCGCACCCTCTTCTTCTCCTCCCTCCCTGCTCCCTCTATCCCGATAACTGTGTCTCATCCATTTCCTGACTTCCTCTCCCTCCCTCATCATCCCACCCATTTCCTTCAATGCCTCCCTCCCTCTATCATCCCTCGCAACATCCAAATCTTCTTTCCTCTCCTCCATCTTTAAACTCTCTCTCACTCCGTCTGTCGCCCCTCCTTCTTTGCCCCCTTGCTTTCTTTCACTGCCTTCCTCCTCTCATTCTTCTTTCCTTCATCAGTCTTTCCCTTCCTCTACCCATCCCACTCTTTTTTTCTTCTTCTGGCAGTCTCTCTGCAGTGTGTGTGTGTGTGTGTGTGTATGTGTGAGAGAGAGAGACAGGGCAGGATAATCATAGCTAACCCAATAAAGCGTCGCACAGGCCCCCCTAGCCCATCCATCAGTGTGCGTCTGGGAAACGCTTCCCCACGCTACGCCGGCCCCACGTGGACCCAAACCTGACAGCCATATAAATGTCTGCAATATACATATCCCATATAAATATGTCGGCAGAAACCTAACACAGACTGGGGGGGGGGGGAGGAGTTTGTGTGTGTGTGTGTCATCCTATCTGTTTTTGCCGCTCTGAAGAAAAACAAATAAAAAAAAGACTTCTTGTCACAGAACATATAAAATAAATTATACAGAAGAAATGAAACATGTACATATATGCAAATCTTTATGCAAATCATAATGTCTCATAATATCTGGCTCAACACTTAGGATTCATATGTGTAATATTGTTACTACACACACACACACACAAACACACACATGTGGTTTCTGCACACCCAAAAACACAGGCTCAAAGTGTTTTTTTTTTTTTCTTCTTTCTTCACCTTCCAGTGAGTGGATGCCTTTCTCCCGTGAGGTGTCGTAAACGTTGTTGAAGTGATCTCCAGTGTTCGGGTCGGCACCAGCTTCGAGCAGAACCTTCACCACACTAGAAGACAACAGGAGACACAGAGACACATTTAAATACATGCAATCACTCAAACTTGTACCGCACTAATCAACCAGCCAACAGGCAGCCTTTCAATTGTGAGAACTCAGTATTTGCAGCATAAATGTTAACAAATGTACGGGTAAAGTCTTATATTACAACATGTTCATTCATATCAACATATATAAACATAAAGCATATTCCCTTCAATTCTGATAAAGACTCTGTCAGGTTTCGTTTTTCTTTACAATGAAAAGTGAATTACAGTGAAACAACCACAAGTGAAGGTTCTTTATCATGTTCAGCAAAGAGATTGTAAATCCAATTGATTCTCAGAGTCACTCCCCTCAGTGGTAGCTCCCACCGTCCACCATACCCATATGCACAACTTCTATATCTTACCTACCCTACCGAATGGCCATTACAGCCCAAACAGCGTTACCACCTTCAACAGAGCCAGGCTGCATCCATGAAAGTTCATACAATCTCCCCCCGCCCAGATCGGGATGACGCTCTTATTCACACACTTGTCTGCTTCGTAACATGTACATGTGTGCACATGGAAGGGGGCAAGGGTCGGGCCTGTTTCCGGTGCCACTGGAGGGGAGAAGGGGTCTGTGTGTTTGTGTGTGCTGGTGAAGCCCTTCATTGGAGCGTACCGCCTTATAGAACAAACACAACTACCTCGGCAACACCACTCACTGTGACCCGACGGACATTCCAGGTACCGTCTCTCTGTCTACAGAACACACTTTACATTTACCCCCATGAACGTGAGTGTTGGCATTGACATTGAGACACAGACGTGCACATGAACACACACACAAAAACTGGCCCGTTAGTCTGTGCTGACCGAGAGGCAGAGGCAGAGCCATGGCCGAAACATGAACCCTGCCAGAACTCTGCAGGCTGACATTAAGCCTGTGACTGAGTGCTGTTCAGCTACATGGTTATAGCAGAGGTCTGCAGTGTCTGAAATGGAGCTAAATTGTTATAAATGTTGAACAGGCTCCAGCTTCCCTCCAGGAAAGAACAGACCCTTAAAAAGTGATGAGGCACAATGGAGAAAAGTTCTGCACAACTCTAATGTCAGAGTTAATCTGAAGGTGAGGTGTAAAAATAAACAAGCCTTCAGCAGATAGTCCAACAATCATCGTTCCTTTGACAATAGACTAAAAAACATTTCTATGAATCCAGATTATTCTGAAATGTTTCAGGTACATTTCAGGCATTAAAGAAAGAAAAAAAAAATAGAGACCATGCCCACTTCCCAGATCTCACTGTGAACAATTCTAATCACTTGTTTAATATGTGGAAAACCAAAAGACACACAAGTTCTTTTTGAACAGAGATGCAGAAATAATGATGCAGCTAACGAACCAATACTCCCACTTAATTTTTTATTTTTATTTTTTTTTTTACACAGAACCAGACAATGCATGCCGCGTTTAGGTAGCATGTCTGACGTGTAACATGTCTGCATCACACACACACAAACAGAAAGGCGTCTACCATTTATTCAGATTCTGAATATACACAGATGTTGATCTGGCACTGTTAGTATTTGCACAGATTTTTAAATGAGAAACATTCTGTTTGCGTCATTTTTTTTTTTTCACCCGACAGAAAAACGGGGATGTCTTAGCTCTTTGCTGTACTTGTCCTTCACATGAATAAGAAGTGTTATTTTGTTTTTTAAACAAAGATCTCATGATGCTTTCTAATGTCAAAGGCAAAGGAAAGATTGGAGAAAGTAAAAGTGGATGTTTCTGCTGCTGTTAAGCACTTTGCCTGACATCTGAGGCAATGGTTTAATGTAATACATTTCAAATCTGGCTCGGACAAGTTTGCTTTTGTAGCTCATAAAGAGGCATCAGGATTACTTTCATTCTGTTCCATAACCAGCTAAACACTGCTCACATGAGCATTAAACGGTGGATCAGCAACATCCCTCACCATCTTTTGTTTGTTCATTTATACAGAGCAGCGAGACAGAGTTAAAATACCACCTTAGGACTTTAGATTATTACATACGGAAAAGAAAACCATCAAATCCTTATATTTGAGGAGCTGGAAGCCGGAAAAATGAACGTCTCTTATTTAAAAATTGTTGAATGCTGGTCTGATATTAAGGTAGTTGGTGATTAATGTATCAAATCATTGTTTTCACCCTGAATATAGTCCTGAACTATTGACTGTGTGATATACAGTACAGGCTAAGAAATTATAGTACAGTAAAACAGGATAGAAAAAATACTCCTGCATATTACTTACACAAAAGAAAATGCAGAATAACGCCCAGTTCCCCCCTTTGTCTCAAAATTCATTCTCCTTGTAGTTTTGTAGCCACTACAGAACATATGTGCTCCTGTTGCTGAGAACGATCCTGGCCAGGTCTTTGTGTCTGACCTTGCTGAGGGGGCATAAAGGACTATCAGGGGGTCCCCCATTGTTACTGTATCACTCTGGCTTGGAGGGGGGGGGGGGGGGCGGGGGGGCAGGGGGCCGTGACCCACAGTGGGCTCTCTTCTCACCCTTGCAAGCACTTCTACAAACATGTGGGCGCATCCTCTGAGACACATCCAGACGCACACAAACCCAAACTAAAGTTGGTCACACGAGGCTGGGCAGGACTGTGTGAAGAAATGTGGCGGTCTGAAAAGGGTTAATGGCATCAGAAAGGTAAACACTGAGGGCTAAAGAAACGAGTTAAAGAGCAAAACTTCAGAGAGGAGGAGGAGAGGGAGGAGGAGTGGATAGAAAGAGGGAAGTGCGGCTAAAAAGATGAAAGAGGGAGAGATTTAATTACACAGATAGTGCTAAAACTAATGAGCTCTTTTAAACAGTTGATAGTTTTACTAATCAACTGATGATCAAGTGGCTAACTTTATTTGGGACGTTTAGGAGGAGAGCTGCAGCACTAATTTGAGGCCAAACTGAAGGCATGCAGAGGTTAATTCAGTTAAACTCCCAGTTTGAACGACTAGGCCAAAAGCTAAAATTACATACTTGGTAATGTGATCCTGGGAGTATCAAAACAATATTATCAGTAAATTACAAGATTATTTTACTTTCATAGCTTAACGAAGAAACATGGGCTTTAGTTAAATAAGGAGGGAGCACAAAAGTTGATACTACATTACCGTGATATTAAAAACCTTGGCGTCACCCTAACAGCTAAGAGTATATTCTCCCTGCTTGCTTACAAGCATCCAACATGTGTCAAAACCTTCAGTTAATGTTCACTTAACAAGCCGGTGCTGAGGTTGGTAGTTTTGACCTTCTAGCTCGTGCCAGCAGGTGACCTGTGTTACTGCGGGGAGCAGGTGTTAGTTTCTCATCCTTGCCCCGGAGGGAAGACAGGAAACAGACACTTCCGTCTCTCCCATGCTATAATAGACACCCGAGCCGAACTGACCATCCATGTCTGTGACCACCTGGCCCAGACGCTGGACCTCATTGGACCTCATGTCACCTGGTGCACACTTGGGGTCAAATAGATGCCAGGAAGAGAAGCTCACGGCACTTTATTTATTTCAGCCGAATAATCTGATTGGTCAGGGTGTAACGCTATGCTGCTGCAGTTTGTTCCAAGTGAAAAACATTCTGAAGCAAATGTTGATAACAGTACAGTTAGACGTTCTTTATAGAGTGGGGGATATTATGAAACCCTATTTCATCAAAAGTTGGGCTGATGTGCAAAATATTTAAAAAAAAACACAATGTGATGATTTGCAAAACATTGAAAGCCCACTGTTGGCAGAAAATAGCAGAAAAATAAAATGTTGAATATTTGTGGAAAATTATACACCCAATTTAAATTAGATGCTGACAACATTATTATTTTTTTTAAATTGGGACAGTGCGAACAAAAGCCTGGAAAAGATGAGACATGCTTCAAAATGACATGATAACCCATAAATGAGGCTTTAATGCTGCATCGCTCATAATATCCTTCAAGTTGATATTTATTTGATCACCATTCCCTAACTGGGACAATATTACTTCAGGGTACGCGGAAGAGTAAAAGACAGAAATAATGATATCCCATAAATGTTCACACATTCTGTCAGTCATCCTGACTTCTTACCATCCCAATCATGTTAAACCATGACCATCTCATTAGAGCCTTTCACCACGAGCTCTCTGCTGAATTTCACTTTTCAATTCAGTTAATCCCGACCCAAAACCATAATCCTACTCCACATGACTCTCTCCAAAGCTTAACTCTTCCCCTCTGTCTTTCCTCAACGAGCCACTCATCGCTCTGCTTTCCCTCATTGCTTCCCCCCCCCCCCCTCTCCCTTCGAGTCGCTCGGCCGACAGGTCGGAACGGTCAACAGGCGCTACACTCGGCTGAGCGCTCATTGTGCACGTGAATACGGCGAGGGGGGAATGGACGGATTCTAAGAGAGATGGAGATGGGTATTGTGTGTTAAAGAGTGCAAACAGTGGGCCAGGCCCTGCGCCTCCCTGATTTAGCCTCACATCAAAGCTAAGCAAACACAAGCCCCCAGAGTCTCACCCTTAATTCTTTCACACAGCCCTCTACTCCACCCCTGATTCCCTCACACAGACGCACCTCGACCTCTGAGCACAGGAAAGGCTGGACGCTACACCTAGAAAACGTTTCCCCTGAAATCACACTGAGCTTAAATCTCATAGTTTTCACTTCTAAGAGGGAGCGGGGGGGATTTAACAATAAGATCCATGCTGACACTGTAGCTACGGGCTAAACCTCTTTCATGAAGGATGTTCCCTGTGTTTTCACTTATCGCCTGCAAATAAAGTTGTGGTTGACTGAGTAATAGCCAGTTGGCTTCTAAGATATTTGGTATAAACTCCCCTTGTCTGTGTGTGTGTGTGTGTGTGTGTGTCTGTATCCACACATGCATCCTCACTTGTGTGCGTGGCAATGACTGTGTATGTCTTTGTGTGACTGATGTGTGTGAACCGATGTTCTGTCTTCCCTGCAGCAGTGACGGCTCACTGGGGGGTTACAGACGGGATTAAACACAGAGGAGTGTCACTGCCTCGCTGAGTTATAGCACTCATAACACACACACACACACACACACACACACACACACACACACACACACACACACACACACACACACACACACACACACACACACACACACACACACACACACACACACACACACACACACACACACACACACACACACACACACACACACACACACACACACACACACACACACACACACACACACACACACACACACACACACACACACACGACAAATAGACAAGTGCAGTGACACACACACACACACACAAGAAATAGACAAGTGCAGTGACACACACACACACACACACAACTGAATTTATATCCAAAAATACATGAATGCAACAATATTTTAAACACTGGCGACCCCTCCACACATCTCATATAAATATGACGACATAATGGAGGTAAAACATCATAACACCTTTTTTTTTTTTCAAAATCAAAGCATATAACCTTATTTGACACGGCAGAGGAGGAACAATATCGATTTTACAGTCAAGTAAAGAAGCAGCAACTTCCTACAGACCGGAATTATGTTTTTTCATTTTTTTCTGCATAAATAACTTGAACTAGTAACATATTATTAGAAAAAAATCATTTAGCTTTCTTTCAGTCAACTAGTTCAGAATTTGAGACATTTAAAGAATAGAATCTAATCCTCACATTAAAACAAGTTACAAACATAATTCTCCATATAACTACAATACTCACAATGAGGAAACTTCCATGTTCCGACAGACATTTGTCTCTTATTTCTTGTGTTGCGATCTCTTTATGTTTCCAGTTTAGCTTAACTATGTCACGAGCTTTACGATGGATAAACTGTAACCCCCTAGATTTAACATAAGCACATTTGAGGCTTTTTTCCATATTCAAATATCACATTATGCTTCTCACGGACACATACGGCCCTTAAACAAAAAGTGGCCACACAGTCCTGATGGAGAAAATAAAAGCTCTGTAAATTGGATTTGGCCCGGCCTTAACCTCGGCCCCTCTGTGTCGTGTGTGTTCTGGGGGCCAGGAGGCTAATTTAATTTGTCCGACAGAGAGATGGGGGACCGGGTAAAGACCGTCTGTTGGTCTGAAAGTCGCACTTTGCACTTCTGAAGACCTACTGTAACAACTCGAGCGGTGGACATGGATGACATATGCTCACACGGTAACTAATGCAGACAGCTGCACGGTACCGGAATCGCTACATTACTGTAACATATGCTCACCAGGGAGGGCATCTCAGATCTCAGAGCTGTAACACACACACACACACACACACACACACACACACACACACACACACACACACACACACACACACACACACACACACACACACACACACACACACACACACACACACACACACACACACACACACACACACACACACACACACACACACACACACACACACACACACACACACACACACACACACACACACACACACACACACACACACACACACACACACACACACACAAAACACACACAAAACACACAGACCTGTGCTGTCGGTTTATTGCAGCCACCATGAGAGGAGTCCAACCAAGACGGTGCCGGTGATTTGGGTCAACCCCTTCTTTCAACAGCCTAACGGAAAAAGAAAAAAGAAATGGTTATTATTTGAAATCTGCTTTAACATCAACATATGGTAAAGGACACCTCTGACAACTGCTCATAAAGTAGTGGTGTGGATCTGTAGTATCTTAAAAGAGTATCTTAAAACAAAAGGAGAATACAGAGATGTTTAAATAACAGTGATTTCATATTTGCATACTACATTGAAACACACATTTCTTCTAAATCAGCAATATAGTGGATAGCTGTATATGTGATGGCATCACAGACATGCCTTGTTAGACACACCAGCATGAAACCATGTCGTCTTTGTCTTTATCTGAAGTGAAACAGTTACTCCCTGACCAGTTAATGTCTCTCTCTCTCTCTCTCTGAGCCAGGTGTGTGTAGGCTTTCCGCCTGAGGCTAGGACACCAAGCAGGTACTAGAGTGACAAGGTAGGTAGTGTGTGTGTGTGTGTGTGTGTGTGTGTGTGTGTGTGTGTGTGTGTGTGTGTGTGTGTGTGTGTGTGTGTGTGTGTGTGATCCGTCTGTCATCTGTAATGCTGAGCAGGCAGACAGTGTGTGTGTTTACAGTCAACAGAGTGGCCTCTATCTAGTCTGCACTCAGCTCTGACACTCCGTGGTTCTGTTTTCACTGCCTGGTGTGCACGTAGCATCAGCGCAGGGGGGGGGGGGAGCTCAGTGCTGAAGCTACTTCACAGCTTCTGTGAGTGAGGGCAGCTCGAGCATCCTTTACTTTACTAAACTTAACCAGAAGGTTGGGTTGAAAAAAATAGACATGAGTTGCAACAAACAAATACGTCCTGAAAGTAGCTGATAAAGCATTGTAAATGAAATGTGCAACATAAGAAAATAAAAGGCTCAATTCAGTAAATCATACAACTTGATTAATGTTCTGTGATCTCTACAGATTTGACGTTTTGCTCGTCAATTTTTTTTTAATTTTTGCCAACTGTACATTGTAAGTGCTTGAGCAAACGTATCTGACAGAACTGTAATTGTCAATTGCTTTCCAATTTGGATAAAAGACAAGTGAGCATCAAGGTAATCTGTCGAGAATGTGAGTTACAAGATCACAGAAATTAAGGGAAAATGTACGATGTTGAAATAAAACTGGTGATGAACTTATTTATTTCATCTTATTCTATAAAAATTCCAAATACTGAAAATATTGAGTTGTCATGACATCGAATACACATCAATCCCGAAGTGAAGTGTGAAAGAAAAGAAAATGCAAACTTTCCCCACACTTCACTACAGCTGCTTTTATGAAGCATGAGTGAAATAAGACCTCTATCCCATCCTCAGCTGCCTGTGAGCACACACACACACACACACACTGACACTCTACCACTTCTACAAACTTAACCAAAGCACTTAACACATCTGGTAAATGCTGACTGGCTGTGTGGCTGTCTGTCTCACTGCACTCACACCTACACCATCTGCCACAGGGCGCAGGTAACCCAACACTACAAAGAGGGACACACGTGGATAAACACATGTACGCTGCCCTCAAATAAATGATACAAGTACCCTTTACTTAACCACTGAACATATAGTTCAGAACAGGTAACAAGGCAACAGTGATTGTGGAATAAAGGCCTTAATGTAGCAGTTGACTAATATGAAGAAACATATGTCTATCTGTAATTCATATCATAAAAAGTAGCAATATTATGGTTGTATCTTTGGCACATTGTCTGCTTTTAAAGTTATTAAATATTTGTAAAGCACAATCCTTTTGTGTGGCTCAAACTGGCTCTGAGTATATCTTAGTTTAAGACTAGCCCCAGAGAAAGGCTGTCATTCAAGCTGTGGTAGAAATACATAAAGGATGTGAGGGAAATATTATCAAAGAAGCTGAAAAAATATAAAGAACAACAACAAAAACAAATCTAGGCACACTGTTGAAATAGGTGTGTGTACTGTAATAGGAGTGTCAGAGTTTGACATCCACCCTGTAATCACCTGCTCCTCAGAGAGACGTTAAATCACACAGATGATTCTCTTCCTCCACCTAGTGGTTATTGGTTGTACTACAACTGCTGTTGATTTAAAAGCATGGGCTTTCTTCACTGCAGATTATTGGGGTTGTTCTAGAAACAGGACTCAGCTGAAGAGCCATGACTGATCAGAGGCTATGACGTCTGAACAAAACTAAAGGCACAACATGATCGACGTACAAGAGCTGTGCAGCCAGAAAATGCTAAAAGCTCTCACAGGAAAGCTCATTACAGATTTACGAGACATTATACTGCATTACATTGATGCCCACTTTAAGTGGAACCAGTTCTTTTTTTTTTAATACAACTAAATGTCATAAAACTAAGTCCAGGTAAGATTAACATTAAACGGCCAAGTGCTTTCTCATTCAACTACAATCAAACTTCAAATAAAAGGCCATCCCAACTTAAGGCCCACTCCCAAGTTTTCACTAAATAAAGGCAGGTCTCTATTTTAGGCCCATATGCATTTAGTGTTGAATTAGTTTGCGGAACAAAAATAAGGAGAAAAAGCAGCAAGACACAAAAAATATAGATGACCATCAACATGTATCCTGAAGGTTAAGGTCAACTGGATATTGTGTCTATCAACAGAAAGTGAGCACTGCCTCTCAGAGTCTACTGCTTAATTGTCTGAATGAAGACTAAAGACATGCAAACCTCAGTTAGAGACAGGAGGGATGGGGAGAACTCTGTTGCTTGTGCTAGCTTTAGATATGGAAATAAATGTATGTATGTTTTTTTTCCATCTCTAATGCAAATTTGTAACACTTAAACATATTCTAAAAACACCACATTAACACATTCTGATATGTTTACACAGCTCTTTAGGCCAGCACAGCACTCAGTTGTGATTATATCAGTATGGGTCTCTCTCTCTCTCCTCTCCTCTCCTCTCTCTCTCCCTCTCTCTCCTCTCCTCTCTCTCTCTCTCCCTCTCTCTCCTCTCTCTCTCTCCCTCTCTCTCCCTCTCTCTCCCTCTCTCTCCTCTCTCTCCTCTCTCTCTCTCTCTCCCCCCCCCCCACAGAGCAGCAGGTTGGCATAGATACGCTGACTTACAAAACAAGGTCAAATTAGTGATTTGTAATTTAATTTGTTTATTCCATATCCTCATTCTGTTAAATATTCTTTCCAGTGTAAGTTAAATGAAATTAAATGTTCTTTCTCATATTTTCTGTGAACGAGTGTTGTTTGAAAATAATTAAAGGCCTTTCTTGTGTGAAAACCTGTCGCAAATAAGAGTTGGGTAATTTTATAGAATTGAGTAATAAAAGCCTGCACTATAAGGGCGGCGTTGGTAGCCTCGTGGTTAGAGTACATGCCCCATGTACGGAGGCTATAGTCCTCCAAGCGGGCATCCTGGTTCAAATCCAACCTGTGGCTCCTTTCCCACATGTCATTGTCCACTATCTCTCCTTGGTTTCTGACTCTATCCACTGTCCTATCTCCAAATAAAGGCAGCAAAAGCCCCAAAATATTATACATATTAGTTAAAGTTTTAATGCATATACTTCCCAGCTACCTATCTGATGGATCCAGGGATGGTTCGCCATGTGTAATGTATAAATGCAAATGCATGAAGTTAACTAATATAAGTACTGGATATGAACACTTCATGTTTGGGGTAAAAGTAGACAAACATTAAATACACAAATAGTCAAATGCATTCATTCAGATTGTTACTGAGTGGGTGTGTTTATGTTACCTTGCCACATCTTCAGAATTATTGGTCCTTGCTGCCTCCAGAAGTGTATCGCCTTGTTATTGCAAAAGAAGAAACATGAATAAGATTTACAGCAAAGTACAAGTTGAAGCTGTGAACACAGTATCTCATTATGGATATATAAATTATATCTTTTGTGTATATCCAATTCTGCTATGCTTTTTCCTAACTCAATTGAAAAGTATGACAATTCAAATCTATTTTTTTTAGAAATGCCAAACTATTGCGTGACTTATTTTTGTAATTAATTTAAAAATATTTTCATACAAAACTCGTTTATGGCTTCAATACTAGTCGAAACAATAATAGCAATTCAGACAGCACATGTCTGCTGATTGGGCATACCTTTGTTATCTGAATCCTTCTTCAGGCAGAAGGCAACAGCTGCAGCAGAGAGAACACCGACAGAGGCCACTCCTGTCCGGTTGGCTCCTCCACCTGTTCCCCTGCCCTCACCTCCACCTTTCTGCCCGCTCTCCTCCCAGTACTGGTTATTGCCGCGCCCTCTGCTGGCCAGAGCCGCCCAGGAGCTGCGGCGGTTCTCCAGTTGGACAGCCATCTAGGGGCGAGGTTGTGGAACTGCATCGACGGATTCAGATTGGTGCTACAACCAGCACTTTCATCAGACAAAATACCCCTTCTGGAGACCCGGAGGTGGACACGATGGGGTTACGGTTAGTCTCCGTAGGTGTCTCTCGGATGCCCTGACATGCGGCACCGCCTGCGCTGGTCTGGAGCACACGGCTGCATGGTGACAGGCTGCGCGACCTTCGCGCAATTAGCCTGGTGGGAACTGATGATAACATGGCGGTAAACTCACCGAAAAAGAGGCAGGGATGAAAGTCTCAGTCAGGAAGTAATTCCAGATGGTAACGGGTTCCCTACAGATCGGGGACACCGCGTAACTAGCGATGTATCTGCCGCTACACTTCAAGAAACAGGTAGCTTATGGCAACGAAAACAACTGCTTCACCTCATCGTCGCGTAGATGTCACTAGAATGCGCGGTGCATTCTGGGAAATGGTGTTTTACTGAGGCGTGCTTCCGTGTTTAATGTCTTGAACTGTAATTAATGAGGTGCACATGATTCAGTGATTTGTCATGTTTCTATTGCTTTTTAGGGGCGACATTTCTGCAAAAAAAAGTTCAATGAAAGGCTTCAAGACAGAAAGGTTAAGGAAGCTTGCAGTCAGTCATCTTTGCGCATGCTCAGTGTGTCAAGCGCAATTACTACTGCTACTAAAATTATTCCCATGGCTTATAAATGTTTGCAGCTTTCCTAAATTATTGTTTTTGCCAGGTTCTATGTGTTCTATTTTCATGATTAACTTGGTATTCAGCCCATCTCGTGACACGGTCATGGTTGTTTGGTTTTCTCGTCCTTTCTTAAACAGAAAACGTGATGATGCAAGTGTTTTTTTGACAGTGCATTAGTCATGGCCGCCAGATGGCGGTAAAAGCACATGGCATTAAGGTTTGTTGCTGAATAGTAACTGCAGAAGCCAATGTCCTTATTTCTTCAAATGTCTTCAATGTTAGCAGAAAAAAATGATTGTCTGGATAGATTGTTTAGGGTGATCGTCCATAAATTCCATTAACATTAAAATCTACATTAGCTATAACATTAGGATGAATCATTCTTCTATCTATCCTACCTGTTTAAGTGTTACAGCTGTGGACTTTATTGTATTGCATGATGGTTCTACTCAATGGAATTTGCATTAACAACTACTACTAGCTAATGAGGTTAATATTAGTACTATATTCCAGAAAGAAATTCACAAAGTGGCATTTTCGTTTGACTGGAAAAACTAGCAGAACCAATCTGACATTCATGCAAGTGCCTCCTGCAATGGAGTAGAGCTGTAAATTATTAGGTGGGAATTGTGTACTGGCAGCAGGCTTGCTGCGCCTAACCAGTCATGAATCATGGGACATCTTGCTAAGCTATCAAAAATCCAATTCCACCTTTAACAGCACATCTTATGCATGCTACTGTGTGTCAGTGTGGTTGACTCTGACAATACTTTCATTCTCACCCACAAATACAGTTCAAGTCATCCACACCTCTGTCAATACGTGAAGACCTTCATTTTCAACCTGCAAATAAAAAGCTACTGAGGGAGTTCCAAAAGCGGGGGAATGACGTCCAGACAAAACTGTACAGACAGCAAACTATAAGGAAAGGTGGACTTCTTCTTCTCAGATTTTATATTTGATGGCCTGCTGTCCTTGATAAATTATGAACACAGTTTTTTTCTTTTTCTCCCAGTCAAATGTGTCTATTTTGATGTGAAGAACAAGATAATGCATCAAACAGAGCAGCAATTAGCACAGATAAAAAATCTCAAGCTGGACCAATGAGTTTATGATTCTGTCTCTGTTGACCACTGCAATGTAGGAATTAGTTGTGTTATTTATTCTTTATCTTGAAGAGGAAAGTCACTCCCCCATCACATGAGGTCATAGCTCAAGGTAAGCTTATACTCTTGGATTTATTTCAGGGTTTTACTCAAAAAGCTGCAACAATCCTGCACAAAGCAGAGACTGAAACTGCATCTTTGTAGAGATTCATCAAATTCCTTAAAAAATAATAATTTCTAGACTGTGTAACGGCATTTGGGACACCGCATAGTAGCCAACCTGTAACCCAACACAAGATTAACATTTTAGCACGTGTAAAAAAGACATGCAATACCTTTTATATCAATACACGACTTTGTATATAAAGAAAGTTGGCTATACGAGTTGCAATAAGCCTACAGATTATTAAGACATCTAGACGTCGTGAGAACACCCACAAATGAAATGGAGTGAAGGAGGCCTGGGTTTACACACGCCGAGATAATAGCAGAGACAGCCAAGAAACTGAAAAAGACTCCTGAAAAATAACTCAGATTAAGAGAATGTCTAGCCTATTCAAAACCGTGACACAAGTTAAACTAGCCCAGAAAGAAATATTTGAAAACCTTAGTTTTTTAAGTACAGGCGAGTTTTGCCTTGTTGTAGCCGAAAAGGAAATAGCAGTAAAGTTCAGTTCATTTAAGCCACAAGAGAGGACTGTCACATAAACTATGGCCTACTGCACAGGTCAGCCAACAGGAGCAACGCGCGACCCCGCTACACTACAAAATACATGCGCGTGTGTATGGATGGATTGGTGGGGTGCATTCAAATACTATCGGGAATGTTGAAAAAATAGGCACATAGCCTATGTCTTAATTGAAAAAACGTAGGAAGTTTTCAGTTCAGCAATATGAGCTACAAATTTAGAGAGAAACGTAATTAAAGTATTGTTAAATGAAAGATTAGCCTACCTTTCAACCACATGTTTATCCTCAACTTCATTAAGATTGACTAGGCCTTTATTAGGCTACATTCAAAAGGTAAGCTTAGAAAGTAGGACTATTTATTAAAAAAAAACTAAACTAAATCAGCCAACACAACATGGAAGCCACAACTACCTTTAAATATCACTTATCTTAATGGTATCATATTAATTAGCCCTATGTTACATGACATAACCGATATTTTTGCTATATGCATC